CTTCCTGAAAATTCTTCTGTTAGTTCCTTCTTTCTCCTGATGGTTTCCTGTGACCACTTCTGGAGGTTAATCTCAGTGCGCTATTTCACATTCTAACTAAAGCCCGGCAGTTGCGTTATTTTTAAACCTCTTTTATCTCTCTTTTTGGGGGGATGGGTGGCTCTAGTTTTTTACCCACACTGAACACGAAGCAGTGTCCTGGGAAGGCTGGAGGTCTGTCTCTGATCCCTTTGCCTCCCGGGGAGAAGTTGTAGCCATGGGGCCCAGAGGTGCTGTGTACTAGCTGATACAGTAAGATTCAAGGGGTCGGCAGCTGGTGCAGCTGCACTGGCTCCGAATCGTCTGAAAGTCAGTCCTGTCAGCCTCTAGGGCCACATCAGGTGAAAATCAGACTCCGCTTCCCAGCTGCTTCTGGGTGTGTTACTTAATTCAGTGTCTCACTTTCCTCAGCTGTAAAACGGGGGTAGATAACAGTGTCTCGGGCAGTAGAGCGTAAGGGTTCTGGACAAAGGCTCCAGAGTCTGATGCCTTAGTTCCCATCCCAGCTCTGCCACTTTGTAGCCCTGGGATCCCAGAACAGTTTTTGAATCATCCTGTGCCCTGATGTCCCCATCAGCAATGCTAGAGACAGTGAGAGCACTGCCCCTTAGGGTCATTGTGAGGATAAAGTGAAAACACACACAGCTAAAGCATTTGAAGGTCCCTGGTCTTGCCACACATCTGAAAGAGCACATCTGGACCTCCTCTCTGTCCTCAGCAGTGATGGGTTTAGACAGGGCAGCCTCAAAGATCCATCACAGTTTTGCAATTCTGGGATGCAAGGGGTGTTGTTTAATCACAGAAAACACAGAAGGGCTTCTTTGTGGGTCTGTCCTGGGTGAGGCAGTGACCTTGGGTCCAAGGTCAAGAAGCCAGGGACAGACCCCCAGCAGCTGTGAGGCCTGTTGACTTTGCAGAACGCATTCTGCCTTCATTACCCCTTTTAACCTCATTGAATTCTCCCCATAGCTCTGAAAGTCATGGTCTAGGGTAATCCTCACTGTGCCAAGGAAAAGCAGAGCCCCCAGCTTCTGTGAACCACTTGTCCAGAGTCACACAGCTAGGAGGGGCAGGGTCGGCTGGAGCCCAGACCTCCGGACGCTGGGGTCTTTGTGGTCTTCTGTCATCGGGGTTCTGGATCTTTGGCAGTTAGCAGCTCATGGTTCTCTTGTGAGGAATAATTTATTGGATAGCATAGGTGAAGCCCTGAGTCTCATTGAGAGGTTTCTTCCAGAAGACTTACTTTGGAGGGAGAGCTTCTTCACACCTCAGTCCTTTCACTTGGGGGCAGCTGTGAGGCGGTCTTATAAGCAGGGGGTCTTAGTGCTTTTGTACCGATATTGTTTTTTGAGGCTACCGAAGAAATGTGACTCCAGGCTTGTCCCCTGCTCCATAAACACAAGTAAGAAGTGGCCTCTGGGCCACGGAGCTTGTTTCAGTAGAGGAGATAAAACTCCTTTACTGTTCTATGATGCCTGATGTAGAAGATGCTTTGGAAGAAGGTGCAGGTAAAATGTTATGGCGTTCCAAGGACAAATCAGGGAAGGCTCCCTGGAGGAGATGGCATTTGAATTAGACCTTGAGAAGCAGACTGAGAAGTGGAAATAGCGAGGGGAAGTGAGCAAGGTGGGGGTGAGGAAGCCCAGAGCAAACAAGAACTCATTTATTCTCATCGAGTTATTGTGTTCATGAGATGGTGTGGAAGGAGGTAAGAGGGGCAGGCGAGATTGGGCCCAGGTTGCGGAAAGCTTCGATTGTCAGGCTGAAGATTTGGTCCATATTTTTTTTTCTTAGTGAGCAATGGGGGGTGTTGAAGGTTTTGCATAGGGGAGTGGTGTGTGTAGAGTCATGCACAACTCTAAATGAAGTATTTGTGTGTACAGGGAGAGGGCTGAGGTTGGAGGTGACCCTGGAAATGTGAGCCTAACCTTGACAAATAAGACTTGTCCCACTCTACATTGGTCAGGCTGTTGATGTCCAGCACATGGGCCCCTGTGTGAGATTAAAAGCTGATCTGTTGTCATGGCTTCAACATGTTTTTACTTCTCTTACAGGAAAATAGTGGCCGAGTATGAGAAGACCATCGCTCAGATGATAGGTGGGTGTCCTGACTTGCTGGGGCTCAGGCCTGCTCTGAGGTTTCTAGACCATGGGGAGACCTTTGAAGATAGGAGCTTCAGGGAGGGTTCCTCTTAGAACAGGAAGTCCTTCAGGGAGGGCCCAGAGCATCTCAGAATGTGGCTTTGCCCCAGGGCAAAGAGCCTGGGGACCTCCTTGAAACACCTGCTAGAATGTGCATTAGCATTAGGCTTGCCCCTGGGAAGCTGTGGCAGCCACCTCGAGAGCCACCATTTGACCAGCCAAGGGATGTCCACCTCATGGGGAAAGAGATTTGGGTTGGTTCCTGGGATGTTTGTGGGCTTTTTTTTTTTTTCTCATGGGAGAGGATAGGAATCAAATCCCTAAACCATAATTTAGTTTAGACTCAAGTGACAAAATACCCAACACCACCTTCATATAGAGTCTAGGGCAAGGATGATAAAATGTGGGGTGATTGCCCACCCTTCCTCCTGTGACCATGCAGACCCTGCTACCTAATCCCAGCACTGTTTCTCACTGAGATTGGACACTGCCTCAGAATCCATCTTAACACAGCGTCCCTGACAGCCAGGACTGACAGATGACTTTGGTCCACAATGAAAGGCCTCAAGTTACAAGTTACACACATCCAGGCCTTTTTGTCCCCCTTTTTAATAATGAGAAAAGATCTTGCAGAAGATCTGAGCCCAGGTTTTTACACTAATGATCAGCACTCAGAAATGACATTTGGGGAGGGGGGTATTGTTTGTTTTCCTAGCTATCTACTTAATATTTGCTTAGGTTCATGATAATCAGTTTTCAAACAATCTTTTACTCCTAAAGACATATGGAGTAAAATCTCCAGGACCCTACAAACCACAGTTTATGTGTCTAATCTTGACATTGTGCTAGCAAATGACCCCTCTCTCTTGCAAATGTTTACATCTGTGAGTCACGTCACACCTCTAGCTTGTCCCAAGATAAATATAACAGTAGCCTCAGAGATAGAGAAGAGGCCAGCAATTGAGTGCTTTCCATTCAAAGAACTTTAATTTTGATTTATTATAGTAAAGGCCATTTCACCCAGAATTCTGGGAGAAGCCCATTTGGGTGTTTCTGAAGTTCAGCCTTCTGGCACATGCTTTCAATAAAAATGAAATTTCTTTATTAAATTGGTATTAGAATTTACGAACACATGTGGATTAGATAAAACATATAAAAATTCTTGGAATTGAGAATACTGGTAAAAATGGTCAGGATGAAGGATTTATGTGTTCCAATATGCAAGGTTTGGCAAGTTGAGCACAAACTTTTGGCCTCGTGGAGTTTCGGGATGTGAGAACATCACTTACACCTACGACGGCTCATCTGGAAACACCCTGCTACATCTCAGACTCACCCATTTTTATTTCTGCCCTTGCTGATGCCGTTTCGGCAGATGTTGAAACAGTGAAAGGGCACGCACTTTTGCTCCTGAGACAGGGCTGCCCAAAGCCGTCTTTCGTGGTTCAGCTGGCAATTCGATATAATCAGAATTCCCTCTTGAAAACTAAAAGCGCGAGGACCTCTCCAGTCAGCATAAGTGGCCTGTCCTCATGGTGACAGAAAGGTTACTGGACTCCGATGCTTTCCTGGCAGAGTAGTTGCAGGTGGGAACAGTTAGGACACTGCCAGCCTGGACAGTCTGCAGAGGTGTGCAGTGTGAGTCCCAGCAAGCCCTCTCGAGAACACCCTCTGCCTTCCTCCCACCCAGACCCCGGAGATTATGGCCACATGTGCTGTCCCCACCCAAGGAGACCTGCTGGGTTTGGCCAAGGGTCCCTCTCTTCGGGGACCGTACACTCAACCCTTTTGAGCATTTCCCTGTTCTTGGAGTGCTCTCTGGGTGGCTCTGGGAGACCCTCTGGCATCCCTAGCTGGGAGCAGCATTGTCACTGAGGGTGGTATCTCACCATGTGTCCATTCCCCATTCTCATTCACCCGGTCACTGACCTCTTTGTCATCCACTTTTCCAGAGCTTTTC